TTTTTTTTTAATTCATGTTTGCAGTAATTCGATGTCTGTTCTTAGATTTGCTGTGAATTTTACTGTTTTACTGATGAGGGTTTTGCTTGAAATGATTTGTTTTGTAAGTTGTAACATGTAGTTGATTTTTTGGGAATTGGTTTGATTTGTTTCGAGTTGGGTTCGAGTGATGAATGATGATGGATTGACTAGATATATTGGTAGCTTGATTATTCTTTGTTGTAGGTAGGTAATTTTTGGAAGATTTTACCTTTTTGCTTATTTATTATTTTTTTTGGGGGTTTTTTTGGTACAAAAAGTCATGAATTTTTAGAAGTTGGTTTGTTTTAGGTTGTGGAAGCTTTTGTTTCTGGTGGGATCATGAAAAATTTTTGTTCTTTTTGTTTTGAAATTCCATGAATTTAAGTGTAAAATTGATGATTGCTTTTTTGTTTTTCTGAACATGTTGCTTTTGAGAATGTTATTTGGGTCTTGATGACTAATTCTAAGTGTGTATAGATTACCAAACAATAAAATGAAGATAATTAAAGCATATCGACAAATTTTCGTTATTGTCTTGCTGATCTTCTCATCAATAAGTGCAATTAGAATGAGAATAGAAACACATGTCTAGGTTACTTGTAAATTTTTTTATCAATGAGTGCTTGTAAATTTGAACGGCTAAAATCAGAAGTATTACCTTTGTTCTGTGTTAGTTTAATATCCATTTCTTAAGGGGAATCTGCTTCTGTATGTAACTTTTAGGAGCTCAAATGAACGTATATTTTTTATTCGCACATAAATTTTCCGTGTTTGCTTAGATTAATGTTCAAATTTGAGCACAAATGTTTTTGCAATTTCATGCCCTTAGATCAAAATGTAATTTCCGCCTCGTTTTTCCCTCCCGATATGTGTTAGCAATATATAGTATGCTCAAATTCACATTGATCTCATGAAATTATTGCATGTACACAATTTTTTTTTCCCCCTTTAACCAAAAATCAGTCCTAGCCCCATTTCCAATTTTAACACGAGGAATAGCTTTTTATAGTCAACTCCTTGTTTTTCCATACCGTAATAATGCAAACTACCTTGCTATTATAAACCGGGATTATTTTCTATGTTGATAGATGGTCAAGAACATTTAACTTTATGCTCTAATTCTTTAACCTTCAACTCACGATATCGAGTTGGATCATCATTTTTCTGCAGTTGAGCAATTACTGTTCGTATGAAGGGGTTTTGTACTGTAAACCTCATTTTGACCAGCTGTTCAAGATGACTGGCAGCCTTGATAAAAGTTTCGAAGGTCAACCATCAGCCCAAACATATTATTACTGTTTTTTTTGTTTTTTTGTTTTTTTTTTTTTTTTAATTTCATCGATTTACATTTATCATCATCAGGGGCTCCAAGAACTGCTCGGGTCGAAAGATCAACAGAGCAAGGAGTCTCGAGTAGTAAGATTTCAAGTATGTTTGCTGGGACACAAGACAAATGTGTTGCTTGCAGTAAAAAAGTTTATCCTCTGGAAAAGGTAATTTTTTTTTTATTTTATTTTAAATTTTTAAGTTTGGCCTAGATAAAGGATGTTGAGATTGCTCTGTTAATTTTCATTTTTATTTTCACATGAACTTTCAGATGGAGAATATCTCATTACTTGTATTCCAAAATAAACGATTGCAAGTGGAGATTAACATATAGCAATCTTCTCAAAAAATCCATCATTCTGTCAATTTTATTTTGGGCAAAAATGCATTTTAGTCTTGTTGGTTTAGCGTCATAGCAATTTTAGTTCCAAGCTTCCAACTTTTCGCCTTTTGGTTATGTGATTTAATATTAATATTTTGCTGAAATTTCAATTATTTGAGAACCAAAAATGCAACAAAATTTTTAAATTACATGACGTAAATTGCTAGTTGTAGGAATTTGGGAATTTGTTGGCGAAATGTTAGAAGCTTGAGATTTAAATTGCTATGGCGTTAAACCAGTAGGTCTCAAAATGCAATTTTGCCTTTATTTTTGTGATATGAAGTTATGAACTATATTCATTATGATTAAAAGCCATAATTGATTTCAATTTCACCATCCAACTTCTTCACTCCACATATTCACTATGTTGCTTAAAGAACATTACGTATTTTCTCATCATGTTCATCTTACACCCGACTTATACTCTTTTGAATTCATCTTAACACGTCGATTAACTTAAATCATTTGACAGGTGGCAGTCGATGGTTCTTCATATCACAGAGCTTGTTTCAAGTGCAGCCATGGAGGATGTGTGATAAGCCCCTCAAATTACGTGGCTCACGAGCACAGGATTTACTGTAGGCATCACCACACTCAACTCTTCAAGCAAAAGGGAAACTTTAGCCAGCTGGACAAGAACGAACAAGCTAAAGCCGAAAATGGGACATCATAAACATGTGAAAAAAAACAAAAAACGCGCGTTTAATTGGAGAGTGATATTGCTTTCTGGTATAGGTGGACAAACTTTTCTCTTGTGTGATGCTTTGTTTCTTGATTTTATTGTCTTTTTAGTTGTTGGTGTTATATTTTGTATTATGAGCTTTGGTGTTTAATGTGGACTTGTTTAGAGTGAGATGAAGTTTTAATTAAAAACGTGTGTTTGAGGCTCCTTTGTTAAAGCGT